ACTTTCCTACTAATTTTATAGTAAGTGGAAGAGTCCACAATAGACTCATTAGAGGGAGGACACCACAAAATAAACTTATATATAAATATGAATATCGACAGATATATTAATTTATTTTTTGCATACTTACGTAAATATACGAATACGCAAGTTGTGTTTATGCATATATAGTTATTTAAATAGACTTATCATTCATATACACGCACGCACGCACGCACACACACACACACACACACACATATATATATATATATATATATATATATATATATATATGTATGTATGTATAAGCATTTCACCCCAAGCAAGGTAAGAGTGCCATTAGCAAGCAGGGGTTTACGGAGAGTGAAAGTAAGAAAAAAAAAGTGGACGTAGGCGGGTAAGGAAAAAAGAACAAGGGATCAAGGCAACAAAAGATTGCGATTGACTTTGCATTTAAATTTTGAAAAATTGTAGTTATCAGGGAAGCAAGTGAGAGGAAGGGAGTTTCAATGTCGGGAAGTGCGATGAAAGAAACTGTTGGAGTAGAAGTAGTGGTTGCATTTAACTATTTAAGAAGTAAAAGTGGGGCATAAATGTCAATCTAGTAGCACGCTTAAATGCATGTCATCGGGGCACCAAGGGAAAAAGCTCGTTAGAGCAGTGACCATGAAAATATTTGAAGAAAAGACAGAGGGAATTCACATTACATCTGTGGGAGAGTGTCTGAAATCGAGAAGCTAATTCAGGGCCGATTATATTAACAGATCATTCTCTGGATTTTGTCAAGAACCTTGAGATGAACAGCAGGGTCACCAGACCAGATATGGCAAAGACAAATGGTAGATTTGTAAATGTGTGAGATGGACTCTGACGAGAAATACCTTTTGGCACGACACAGTGAACCAAGCTTCCTTGCGGTGGGTGCAGCTATTGATTCAATGTAGTTGTTTCACTTGAAGTCAGTTGAACACGTAAAGCGATAAAGGCGCAGTGTGACGCTATCACAGGGACGAGCGTCAACCATGCTAATGGTAGGCAGGACGTTTCTCTGTGGTGGTTAAATGAGAGTACATTAGCTTTGGAGTCATTCAAATTTACAAGCCATTTCCTGTCCCAGTCAACCACTGAGAGGAGGTTCTTTTCGAGAGCAGCGACCAGGTTAACTTGTCAGCGCTGTCGAGTTTATTATTGAGACAGGAGTAAATGGTAGTATCATCTGTATAAATGCCTACTTGGGAACTGATAACATCAAGATCGTTGATGATGATCAGAACAATGTAGGACACAGAATAGGGCTTAGGGGAACATCAGCGTTAGTATGAAAGGAACTGGAAGAGAGGCCGTTCAAGACGACCTTCATTCCCGATTAGCTAGGAATGATTGGATTAAATCAAATAATCGTCATGTAATACCGTACCTGTGAAGATTACGTAGAAGACCAGCATGCCAAACCCTGTCAAACGCCTTCGAGATATATAGAGCTACAGCCATTATTATCGAGAGCTTGATATATATAATCAGTTATGGCAGTAAGCACCTTCAGCGGTAGACCGGGCAAAACGGAATCCATATTGTTTGTCAGAGAATAGGTCGCGAGTGATAAGATGCTTACCCACTTCGATATTGATTAAGGCCTCGAAGACTTTACCGACTGATAGGGTGGTAGTTAGAGGGGTCAGAATGTTCCCCAGAGTTCTCTAAGACAAGGACGACAGATGAAAACTTCCAACAAGTCGGAAAGCAGGAAGCTGTGAGGCAATTGTTGTATAATTTGGAGAGAACTGGAGCTAGCTCGGAAGTACATTTCTTTAGGACAATTGGCATCCCGTCATCTCCACTTGCCTTATGGGAGTCTAATTTAGAAATGATGTACGAGACCATCGCCGGGCTTATGTACATATCACTCAGTATAGTTGAGTTGGAAGAGAATTTACGAGCAAAGCATTCAACCTTATCTGATGTAGATGTTAGGACTGCGAATTGATTGAATAGAGGAGGGATTGAGGATTTGTTGTTGCTCCTCTTGAAGAGCCATTAACAATCTCTACACTCGAACTTGCGTGATGCAATACGTTGATTCATTCTAACAACCAATAGTAACTTTGCTTTCTTCAGGACACGTTTGAACTCGTTATGAACAGAGGCAAAAAGATGTCTGTTGCAATCAGACTTACATATATCTCTCTTTCTATCTGTCTGTCTGTCTCTCTATATATATATATATCTGAATTGAATCTATCTATCTATATATATATAGAGAGAAAGATATGAATCTCTCTCTCTCTCTCTCTCTCTCTCTCTCGATATATGAATATATATATGAATTGGGCAACGACCATTATATTACATATGTTTAATCGAATGTAACAATAAAAGATTTTTTTTTATTCAGTTTTTCGAATGTACTTAATTTTCATTCATGGCGTGGGGTTAATGGAATGTAAAAACTGTCCGTAATTATTATTAACCCGAGCGAAATTAGGAGAAATTCTAATACTAGAAGAGATCTGGTCATGATTACATGCTAGGGGTGTCTTTTAAAAGACAGTCAAAACGTTACTACTGTTGTTAAATAGGGTAAGGTTGAAGCTTGGCTTAAATTGTTTTATATAAAGAGGCTTAATTATATTAACGTGTATTTTAACTTTGAATTCTACATACTTTAGTATATATATATATATATATATATATATATATATATATATGTGTGTGTGTGTGTGTGTGTGTGTGTGTGTGTGTGTGTGTCTATATTTTCTGAGATGAGGTATTATGTACACTATTAATTAATATCTCCATACACTCACACATATTTATTTGCGTTGATGTTAGTGACCCTGGGTTTCACGCTCTTTGCGATCGTCAGACAATCTCGATCGCAAAGGGCGTGAAAACTAAGGTTACAAACTCACATTAACGCAACTAAATATGTGTGGGGGAGAGAGAAAGAGAAAGAGAGATTGTTGGAATGGCGTCATTACAAAATGTATGAAAGCGTAGATTATAGATATTTGAAACATGTATTGCGTATGGCAATAAACTACACACAAATACTTGTATGGGGTATATTGGTATTTTGGAGTTTTGAGAATTATGTACGTTTGTTAATGGCAATGGTAATATTAGTCGTCTCCCTATAAGGAAACATTCAGCATTTATTGATCAAGCAGCTAGTACTACGGTTGGTTGAAATTCATAAAATCTTTCAGTTAAGACAATTTTTCAGATAAACAGGTTTTCCAAGTCCTGTATCTTGCATCGCTCTTTTCAGTAATAACGGTGTTTCCCGTTTGAAGTCCTGTGGAATTTCAATATCTCTCTTTAGCTATGGGTTAAATATCAGGATATACTGGACTCCCTAGACTTGGGTGGAAATCAATCGTAGAGAAGGGTAACTATTGAGTCTAAAATATAATATTGATTTTCAAACTATTGCATCTCAAACTGTGAAAGAAGCCACGGGAAAACCTCCACTATTTTTTTCTAAAGAGTGCATGTTAATTCACAAATAATAAAAAAAAATATGTGTGTAATTATGATCGTCTTTGGTCTGATATGACATAACGTTAAAATACCCCCAACTATAGGTTAATTAGCAGCGAGGATAGGACTCTCTAAACTTGGATTGCATCCAGTCTATGAGAAAAACATACCCAAATTTAAAAACGCGTATAAGGCAACGAGTATGTTATCTATTCTATAATAATTCACAGAAGAGAAAGGGGATTTGTGGAGAGTCATGAACGACTATGTCCTAAAGGGATATGGCATTTCAAAAAAGGAGTAAGTGGAAAATTCGATTAGGCTCTTTTGCAATGTGTTGCAGTCATTCTAGTTTAGGGAAAAAGTCTGAAGTGCAACCCGTGCAAAAAGTATTAGTGAACAATACTTTCTTAAGATATTATGACAATTCAATGATTTTGAAAAAAAAAAGGAAATTGTGGAAAACCATAATCACCTACGTCCTGTTTGGGCATAGCATTTATAAAAAAATAATAAAAATCACCTTCATAATAGCCACCATCAATATCTACATTATCACTCTAATCATCATCATTTCTTTTAATATTATGCTAGTCATTGGATAAAAATTATAACCATTATCACCCTTTCTCATTAAACACGCTACCCCCACAATTATTATCAGTAGTAATAGCAGTAAGAACAATATAATTTCCTCGTCATCAAC